CAGACCCCTGCTGGACACGATTCCTCCCGGGCGGAGGGGGTGTGCCCTCAGACGCTGGGCCGGGAGCTATCAGGAGGTGCTAAGTCCAGGCGTGCTGGCCCCTGACCCTTGGCCCTGCTGCCCCCAGGCGAGGCCGGTGCCAACATCATCGAGGTGTCTAAGGAGGCCCGGAAGCGCTTCCTGGGCCCGCTGCACCCCTCCTTCAACCTGGTGAAGACCATCCGCAGCTGCCTGATGAAAACCCTGCCCGCCGACTGCCACGAGCGCGCCAGCGGGCGCCTGGGCATCTCGCTGACCCGCGTCTCGGACGGCGAGAACGTCATCATCTACCACTTCAGCTCCAAGGACGAGCTCATCCAGGTGGGCCCCGCAGGGGTCGCCCCGGGGCACGGCCGGCCCCCGGCCCGGCTCACCGCCCGCTCTGTCCCTCCCGCAGGCCAACGTGTGCAGCACCTTCATCCCCGTGTACTGTGGCCTCATCCCGCCCATCCTCCAGGGCGTGGTAAGTGCGCTGGTGACGGGAGGCACTGCGTGGCCGAGGGGCAGGGTGGGGAGGAGCCACCCGTGTCCCCCAGCCCCTCACTCCCGCCACTGCTGTTGCCTCACTTCCCCGGAGTTACTCAAGAGCCAGAGCCAGGCCACACGCTTCCTGTAGCTCCCCCCGCCCATGTCTGGCTGTTTCTCAGTGCCAGGCGGCCGGGCCAGTGCCTAGTGGGTGAAGGCTCAAACGAAAAGCCACGGGGGTGGGCCCGGGCAGCCCGCCTCTCTGCAGGCCCCGCCATGTGACCTGTGTCCCTCCCACCTCAGCGCTACGTGGACGGTGGCATCTCGGACAACCTGCCGCTCTATGAGCTCAAGAACACCATCACCGTGTCCCCCTTCTCGGGCGAGAGCGACATCTGCCCGCAGGACAGCTCCACCAACATCCACGAGCTGCGGGTGACCAACACCAGCATCCAGTTCAACCTGCGCAACCTCTACCGCCTGTCCAAGGCCCTGTTCCCGCCCGAGCCCATGGTGAGCCCTCGCCTTCGCCGCCTCACCTGTCCGGGTTCCGGTCCTGGTTCTGGTCCTGGTCCTGGTCCTGGTCCCCATCCTGGTCCCCGTCCTGGTTCTGGTCCCCGTCCTGGTCCTGGTTCTGGTCCTGGTCCCCGTCCTGGTTCTGGTTCTGGTCCTGGTCCCCGTCCTGGTTCTGGTCCCGGTTCTGGTCCCCATCCTGGTCCCCGTCCTGGTCCCCGTCTCGGTTCTGGTCCCCGTCCTGGTTCTGGTCCCCGTCCTGGTTCTGGTCCCCGTCTCGGTCCCCATCCTGGTCCCGGTCCCGGTCCCGGTCCCGGTTCTGGTCCCGGTCCTGATCCTGGTCCTGGTCCCCGTCCTGGTTCCGGTCCTGGTCCCCATCCTGGTCCCCGTCCTGGTCCCGGTCCCGGTTCTGGTCCCCATCCTGGTTCTGGTCCTGGTCCCGGTTCTGGTCCTGATCCTGGTCCCCTTCCTGGTTCTGGTCCCCGTCCCGGTTCTGGTCCCGGTCCTGGTCCCCGTCCTGGTTCTGGTCCTGGTCCCCGTCTCGGTTCTGGTCCTGGTCCCTGTCCCGGTCCTGGTCCCCGTCCTGGTCCTGGTTTTGGTTCTGGTCCCCGTCCTGGTCCCTGTCCCTGTCCCGGTCCTGGTCCTGGTTTTGGTTCTGGTCCCCGTCCTGGTCCCCATCATGGTCCTGGTCCCCGTCCTGGCCCCTGCCCCTGTCCCTGTCCCGGTCCTGGTCCCAGGGGAGGAAGCTGCCCTCTGGCGGCGCCTGAGTGACGGCAGGGGGTCTGGACATCCTCTGAGGCTGGGAAGGAGCCCGTGGCCCACACGGCCTCTGCACTGGGGCAGCCTCTTCGGCCTCATCTGGTCCTGGGTCCCGGGTCCCTTTGCTGGGGGTGGTGGTGGGGGAGGTGTTTGCAGGGACCAGGGCCAGGCCTGGTGCGTCTGACCCCCTGCTCCACCCCTGCCCCCAGGTGCTTCGGGAGATGTGCAAGCAGGGCTACAGGGACGGCCTGCGCTTCCTGCGGAGGAATGGTGTGTGGGCCGGCCGGGGCGGGGGCGGCGCCATGGCCCCTCCGCCAAGCTGACACTCTCTGGCCCTCCCCTCCCAGGCCTCCTGGACAGGCCCAATCCCTTGCTGGCACTGCCCCCTGCCCAGCCCCCTGCCCGCCAGGAGGAGGACCGGGAGAAAGCGGTGCTGGCGGTGGAGAGGGCTCTGGTGGAGGACCACATCCTGGAGCACCTGCCCGCCCGGCTCAACGAGGGTGCGTGGGGGGCGGGCTCAGTGAGGGCGTGGGGGGCGGGCTCAGTGAGGGTAAGTGGGGGCGGGCTCAGTGAGGGCAAGTGGGGGGCACAGATCAGTGAGGGCGTGGGGGGCACGATCAGTGAGGGTGGAGGGCCATGGGGAGGCTGGGGGAGCAGAGCAGAGCTGGCCCCGCCTCCCCCACTGGTGTCAGCCTCCTGCTGCTCCCCTAGCCCTGCTGGAGGCCTGCATGGAGCCCAAAGACCTGCTGACCACCCTCTCCAACATGCTGCCCGTGCGTCTGGCCACGGCCATGATGACGCCCTACACGCTGCCCCTGGAGAGCGCCGTGTCCTTCACCATCCGGTACGGCCGGTGGGCAGGAGGGGAGCCTTGCTGAGGGGGTCACCCCGGGAAGAGGCAGCTGGTGGGGAGGATGGAGATGTCAGGGCCAAAGGCGGGGGTGGGCAAGGCACAGGCCCTGACCCGAGGCCGTGCCCCCCACCGCCCAGCTTGCTGGAGTGGCTGCCCGATGTGCCCGAGGACTTCCGGTGGATGAAGGAGCAGACGGGCAGCATCTGCCAGTACCTGGTGATGCGTGCCAAGAGGAAGTTGGGCAGCCGCCTGCCGACCGGGTAAGGCCCTGGCTGCTGTGCTGGGGGGGCCACAGCCTCACCTTAGCGCTCCCCACTAAAGCCCCGCCCCCCCCGCAGGCTGGCGGAGCAGGCGGAGCTGCGCCGCGTCCAGTCGCTGCCCTCCGTCCCGCTGTCCTACGCCGCCTACTGCGAGGCGCTGCCCGGCTGGATGCGCAGCAACCTCTCCCTGGTGGACACGCTGGCCAAGTGGGAGGAGTGCCAGCGCCAGCTGCTGCTGGGCCTCTTCTGCACCAACGTGGCCTTCCCGCCCGACGCCCTGCGCATGCGCACCCCCACCCCCTCCTGCCCCAGCCCCGCGCCCCCGCAGCACCCGCCCCCTTGCTGAGAGCCCTCGCTCCCGCCCTCCCAGCCCCCCACCCCACCCCACCCCGGGGTCCCAGTGCTGAGGGCCAGGCCCTCCAGCTTCCCTGCCCCATGAGGCGGGGCCCTGGGGTCACCTGAGACCCTCCCCCCTCCCTCCATGCCTGGGGGAGGAGAAGGGGCTCCCGCTGGGAGAGGGACTTGGCTGTCAGCTCCTCCACAAACCACTCACTTGCTGCACTGAGGAGGCGGGGCGTGCAGCACCCCAGCCACAGAGGCCCCCTCCTGTGCCTTAACACCCACTCCCAGGCCTGCCCAGGGCAGGGCCGGGCCGGGGTCCGGGCAGAATCACTCCCTCGAACTTTGCACCTGCTCCTCCTCACGTTTCACTGGAGATGTTGAAGATGTGTGAAGACTTATTTATTTTTGCTGAAGCAGACGTAATAAAGGCCACAGCTCAGCCCCTGCGTCCTCCGTGTGTGTGACCCCTCCAGCTGCCCCACGTGGGTACAGCCTCCTTCCCGGCTGCCAGGGTCCCGGCTGCTGGAGGCCAGCATTGGGCCTGGGGCCGCCCCTCAGGCACTCAGGGCCTCCTGGCTGCAGCCCCTCCTCACACACGTGCCCCCTGGCCCGAGGCCTGCAGGCTGACCGGCACAGCTCCCCCAGGGCCAGTGGGAGTGTTTGAGACCAAGATCCTCACTGAATAAAAAACAAAGACGTGTTTACAAAAGGTGGTGTCGCACCTCCGCTTGTGGTGACGTGGGGGGGCTGCCCTCTGGGCCTCGCGGGGTGAGGTTCCCCAGGAGCGGGTGCGGGGCCTGCTCCACGCTGGGCTTTGTGTGCCGGCCGTGCTGGCCAGGTGCACACGTTTGCTCCCCTGAACCCCTCCTCCCCGGGGGCCTGGGACAGGGTGAGGGCTCTGGGAGACGTGGGCAGTGGAGGGAACCCTGCCAGCCCCCCTGCGGACCGGGAGCCAGGGGTGGAGGGTGCTGGGAAATAGCCCTCAGGCCTGCGGTTTGGCCCCACCTGCTCCCCCACGGCTGGCTGGCTGGCTGTGTGGGCGGCCGGCTGTGGCAGCGCAGCCCCCGGCCAACAATAACGGAGGAGAGGGCTGTGGGACTGGGCGAGCCGGCCGGGCAGGTCCCGGCTCCCTGTGCCAGGGCCGCCCCCCTCGCTCCCAAGGTCCCGGCCTCTCCGCCCAACCTGTTCTCGTTCGGCAGGATCGGGCCTTGGAGAAGCAGAGGCGGCCACCGAGGCCAGGCCTCCAGGTGGGTGCGGGCCGGAGGCCGGGAAGAGGTGGACTTTCTCTCCCCCCAGCGCGGAGGGCTCACCCCTCTCCCACCCCTGGCTCACCCTCACACTCTGCCCTCACACCTCTCACCCTCATCCCGGCGTCTGTCTGTGCATTTACCGTCACTTTCCAGGACGTCAGGTGTGTGGGGGCACGCAGTGGGAACCCCGGGAGCGCAGCCCTCCCTCGGGGCACGGTTGGGGTTGGAGCTGTCCCTGTACTTCCCGCCGCGGTTCCTGCACTTTGAGCCCCTTAAGTCGGGTCCTCAGCCCCTGCCCTGCTCACCTGGCCGCACAGGGAGGCCCCCGGAGCCGGTCGCCTCACCCCACCGCCCGGGGCTCTGCGGGATGGATCCAGGTCGCGGGCGGGTGGGGAGCGCGGCGAGAGGCGGGGACAGGCGACAGCAGTGGCGCCCCGCCCGCCCGCCCGGGCCGGCCCACGCCGGGGTCCCGGAGCCTCCGAGCGGCAGGAGCGGCGCCCGCGCCCGCCTTCCGGGAGGGGAGCCAGGCGGCAGGTGCGGCGGCGGCCAGCGCGCAGGTAGGCGTCTCGCGGGTCCGCCGCTCCGAGGCCCGCAGGGCGCGCCCACCCCCCGGGCGGCGGGGGCTCCGGGGCCCCCACGGGGCGGGGCGCTGCGGCCCTTCCTTCCCGCTCCCGCGTCCGGCCGAACGCAGCTTCCGCCGGGATGGCCCTCCGGCCCGGAGCCCGGGGGCCGGGGCGGCGGGGCGCGGTGGGGTGCCCGGCCGGTGCGCCCCGTCCCGCTCCCGCAGACCGGCCTTCGGACCCGGGCCCGCGCAGCCCCCCGGACGGGGCGGGGCCCCGCTCTGACCCGGGAAGGACACGCTCCGACTGCTCAGACTCGGTGCGGGCGGCTGCGCGGGGGTCGGGGCCGGAAAACGCGCGCCCGGGGCGGCCGGGAAGACAGGTGGCTCCGGTGGGACCGGACCGGGATCAAGGGCGCGGCGCCCTTTGTGTGTGTGTGGGGGGGGGGGGGGGCGCAGGTTGGGAGGGGGCGGGTCTGGGAGGGGGCGAGCCTATGCGGGGAGTCTGTCAGCCTGGACCTAGGTACCCTGACCGCAGCCATGGAGGGCACCCTGTCCGCCGGGCCCTGCACCCGCACCCGCACCCAGGGAGCCGGGGCCGCGGTGGGCGGGGCTGGGCGAGAGGGCGGCGCAATCCACCTGCCAGCTGGTGAGGGCGGGCCTGGGCCCAGGTGGGGCTGGCTGAGTGCTCCTCCCGGTCAGCCCCTCCATCCGGCTGCTGTCTCCGGCCACCGCTCACCCCAGCCCCGTGCCCTCAGCTGCCATCCCAAGGCCTCCATGGACCCCCCAGACTGCCCCTCTCCCAGCCAGCTCTCTGCGGGGGACCCCCTCCTGAGCCCGAGGCTCTAGCTCCCTCAGTCCTGCACCACCGGCCCTTACACCCCGAGCCCTCGAGCCAGCAGACCCTCCCGCTGCCCCTCTCTCCTGGACCTAGGCCAGGCCTCCTCCCACCTTCCTCTGCCCAACGCTGTGTCCCAACGGCCCCCGCTCAGCCCTCAGCCACCGGCCTCTAGGCCTTTACCTTCCCTCTGCCCCCCCCCTGCGGTCCCCCGTCCCCCCTGCTTTTCTTAGGAGCTCTGCTCTGCCCTGACTCTCCTTGGCTTTACAGCACCCACAGCCAAGACCCGGCTCTCATGGCCAGCCCCGGGGAGGCCCCGGAGGAGGAGGCGGAGGAGGGGGAGCCAGAGGCAGGCTCCGCGGGGCCCTGGGCCGCCATGCTGGCGCAGGCCCAGGAGCTGTTCCTGCTGTGTGACAAGGAGGCCAAGGGCTTCATCACCCGCCATGACCTGCAGGTGAGTCCCCGTCCCGAGGGGCTGCCCGGGGCCGGCCCCCGCCACTCAGCCCGCCCCCTCTGTCCGCCAGGGCCTGCACCGCGACCTGCTCCTCACGCCCCAGCAGCTCGAGGCTGTGTTTGAAAGCCTGGACCAGGCCGGCACGGGCTTCCTCACCGCCCGGGAGTTCTGCCTCGGCCTGAGTGAGCCCTGCCCTGACCCCAGCCTGACCCCCACCCAAGGGCCCTCCCTGGGGCATGTGGGCGGCTCTGCACACACACAGGCAGCGAGGGAAGGCCCCGCAGAGAGCCCCCCGCTGCGGAGGCCTGGGTGCCCGGTCCCTCCTGCACCCCCCACTCCCCCTGCTGCGCCCAACCCAGGTGGGCTGGGAGCCAGCTGTCCATTCTGGCCCGTCCGCTCCCAGGCTAAGAATCCACTCAGAATTAGGAAGGAAAACAGGAAGCCGGGCCCATAGAAAGGGCAGGATGTGTGTGTATGTGTGTGTGTGCGTGGGGGCAGTGGCGGCCGAGCACCGAGGTAACCCACCTCCCTGCGATCTCTCGCCCATGCCCACAGGGAGGTTTGTGGGGGCAGAGGCGGCCCAGGGCACACAGCCCTCTGGGGCTGCGGAGGAAACCTTTGAGTCGGGCTGGTCTGAGGGGCCAGGCCCCGGGGGCTCCCTGGAGGAGGAGGAGGAGGAAGAGGAGAGGTTCCTCTCGGCGCTGGAGCAGCTCGGGGTGGCCCGGGTCCTGAGCGAGTGAGTCTGCCTGCTGCTGCTCTGGGCACGGTCCCCGCGGTTCCCCTCAGCGCCTGGGCGGGCGGGTGTGATTTCCCGCAGAATTTGCATTTTAGGAGGCAGCGGTGAGGGCCGCGGGAGGGGCGGCGCCGGCCACAGGGCCTCCGGCTCCTACCCGCGCCTGCACAGGACCCCTCGCTGCCCAGCCCGCGGCGCACACGCAGGCCCCCCAGGGGCGAAGTCACCCGCAGGAGGGAGGCCCTGAAGGCGGCCCCTGCGCCTGGCTGGTCCGGGGCTGCGGAGGTCATCTGGGGGCGGGCGCGGAGCCCCCCACGGTGGCTTCAGCCCCTGCCCGCTCTTCCAGGCAGCGGGCGGTGCGGCTGCTCTGGACCCGGCTGCAGCGCGAGCGCCCCGAGCTGCTGGGGCACTTGGAGGAGGTTCTGATGCGCGCGTCCGCCTGCCTGGAGGAGGCGGCCCGGGAGCGAGCCGGCCTGGAGCTGGCGCTGCGGCGGTGAGGGCTGGGGCGGGGCGGGCGGGGCTGCAGGACGGGCAGCTCCATGCAGCTGTCTCACCCGGCCCCCCACCCATCCCCATCCCACCCCACCCGCACCCCAAGGCGGGAGAGCGAGCACGAGAGGGAGGTGCGGTGTCTGTACGAGGAGACCGAGCAGCAGCTCCGGCAGCAGCGCCAGCGCCTGAGGAGCCAGGTAGGCCCGCGGCCCCGCCCACCGCCGCCCCGCCCAATCCCAGACCCGCGCGCCGCCCTGGCCACGCCTCCTGGGAGCGGGTCCCGCCCCCGGCCCCTGCCCCTTCGCGGTTCGCGGAGGCTCAGGTGCCCCCGGCCGTCCCAGGACCTTCCCCGGGAGGAGCGGAGAGGCCGCCTGGAGCTGGAGCTGCAGAGCCGCGAGCAGGAGCTGGAGCGCGCGGGCCTGCGGCGGCGGGAGGTGAGCGGCCCCCGGCCCGAGCCCCATCCCCCCGTCACCACGCCGCCCCGCCCCCGGCAGCGCTGGGAGCCAGAGGCAGCCCGCCCCCAGGGCAGGGGCTTCCTCTCTAGTCTCCCCCCGCCCCCAGCTGGAGCAGCAGCTGCGGACCCGGGCCGCGGAGCAGCTGGAGGCGCAGGCGCAGAACGCGCAGCTGTGGCTGGCCAACGAGGCGCTGCGGGCGCAGCTGGAGGCGGCGCAGGAGCAGCTCGGCCGGCTGGAGGGCGAAGTGCTGGGCCGCCAGGAGCAGACCTTACGGTGCCAGGGGCTGGGGCGGCCTTCAGGGGCGGGTCCCAAACGGGGTGGGGCCCACGGGCGCGTCGAAGCGGGGGTGGGAGGGGGGGGGTCGCGCTTGGGGCTCAGGTCTGGGCCGCTTCCATCCGCATCCCAAGTCTGGGCACTCCGCCAGGGTGTGCGTGGGTCAGGGTCCCCTAGGGGGTGGTGGAGCGCCCCAGGAGTCCCCTCCACCCAGGCCACCGCCTCCCGCCCTGCCCGCAGGGACGTGGTCGCTGTCTCGAGGAACATGCAGAAGGAGAAGCTCAGCCTCGTGCGGCAGCTGGCGCTCCTCAGGTTCGGTCTGGCTCAGCCGTGGAGGGAAGGGGCTCAGTGCAGCTCCCCAACGCCCCTGCCCACTGCCCGGCTTACGGCCAGGAAGGCCTTCCTGGTGTCTGCCCTCCCTCCCTCACGCTGCAGCCCCTGCCTGGTCTGAGGGAGAGGCCGGGCCCACACTGCCTGCCCCAAACTCCTGCCTCCTGAGGCCTCTCAGAGCCCCTGGACTCCCTCCCCCAGGGAGCTGAACACGCGGCTGCGAGACGAGAGGGACGCCTGCGAGGCCAAGCAGCTGGGCAGCGGCCCCAGGACGGCTCTGGCCTCTGCCTGCCTGCCGAGACCCACCTGCTGCTGCTGCTGCTGCTGCTGCAGCAACTGGGCTCGGCCCCCCGGGTGTGGCTCAGGCCCCCTTCCCAGTGCCCGGTGAGTGGCCAGCCCAGTGACTCACCGGGCGTTCCTGAAGAACTGCCCTTCGAAAGTGACTCACCGTGGCCGGGGCTGCGCGGCCAGGACGTGGGCTCTACCCAGTATGCGGCCCGGCCGGCCGGCCTGCAGGCATGAAGGAACTAATGGGGAGAGGGGGACCAGGCGCCCCTGTGGCCCCTCTGGTCCTCACCCTGTCCCCTTCCCCATCAAGCCATGTCTGTCCGGCAGAAAGCCCCTCCTCCAAATAAACACTACAACCACCCTGCAGCCTCCAGCCCTCCTGTGTGTGGGGTGGAGCCACAGACATGGCCTGTCCGTCCAAGTGTGCCCAGACCCACACCCTCCGAGCTGAGCTGGGGCTGTGGGTCCTTGTTTGTGTCCGCAGGCGTCCCTGCCTCTCTGTCAGACCGCGGGCCCTCACAGCCCATAAGCGCTTGAAGTCCAGGCCCAGGGCAGGTGGGGGGGTGCTGCCCACTGACCCTGGAGAGCTGCCCCAACTGACTGTGGGGACTCAGACCCCACCTGGGTTGGGAGTCTTCCCTCCTCACACCCCCCACCCCAACTCAGACTCCAGTCTAGTGGGTCTGCAAGACTTTTTCAAGCCTTCCCACCACTGCCAGGCCAGCAGCCCTCCAGACTGGAGTGTCTCACAGGGCCCCTAGGCCTCCGAACGCCAGGCCATCCGTCCTGCTCACCCCTGTGGCCTCTGGGTGGAACCTGGATCGGGAGCAGAGAAAGAATTGGGCCTGGAGGACAGCAGGGTCTCAGGCAGGGTCCAGGCCTTGGCTGGTCCGGCTGCCTCCCCCACCTCCCCGCCCCTAGCTCAGTTCCTCCGTCTCCTGAGGGTCTGGGTCCTGGCCAGGCTGCGGAGGCCCCCGGGCTCTCCAGGCGCCTGCACCGGCTGGAACCCCGCCGCCCGTCCGCGCGCCCGCGCAGAGCGTGCGTTCAGACCTGTGGGCCCTAGGCCGGGTTGTCGGCACCGGCGTGGTCTCCTAAATGGGGCGGGGTTTGCGGGCCGGGGCGGGACTTGCCGGAATGGGCGGTGCTTTCCGGCGTGGGCGGGGCCTGCGGGCCGGGGCGGGGTTTGCCAGTATGGGCGTGGTCTGAGGGCCGGGGCGGGGCCGGCGGGGCGGGGCCGTAGGCGAGCGGTGCACCTCCCCCGCAGGCCGCCAGCGGCCGCGCATTCTCCGCGCTCCCAGCCTCTATCCCGCCCGACTCCCGACGTCCGGTGAGTGCGCCACCTGGCCGGGCCCGCCGGGAGGGGCCGAGAGTCCCAAGTCCGCCGTGGCGCGGCTCGGAGGCCCGGCCGCAGCCTCGGGGGCCCTTTCCGGAGGGGAGCGGGTCACCGGGCGGCTGTGCGGGCGGAGGGGGCGCAGGGCGAGGGCGGGACGCCTCCCGCGTCTCCCGGCCGGCCCGGCGGCGGTCCCTTCGGGCCAAGGGCCCCACCTGAGCATCGCACTCGTTGTTCCTGGCCGCCGGTTCCCTTCCCTCCGCCGCGGGCCCGCCCACCTCCCGGTGCCAGTGGGTGGGCGGCGGCGGCGGTGACCTCATCGCGGTGACGCGGGATTCCTCCCAGGGCCCGGCTGGAGCCCTTCCCGGGGCCCCCCTGGTTGCACGGGCCTCCGAGGGCCCAGCGGGGTGCAGGGACTGGGGAGGGGCCGCTCTGTTCCCGGCCGCAGGAACTATTTCTGGCCGCCCTTTCCCTGGGGATCCACATCCGCTAGACTCTCCCGGAAAGAGGGCCCCTCCCTGCGGGTGGCCGGTGAGGGCCGCGGGGGCGGGGGCTGTGTCCGGAGTCAGCCTCCCCCGGAGGCCTGGGACCTCGGAGCAGGCCCAGGGGCCCGTCTGCCGCGCGTGGGGCTCCGCAGGCTACGCCCTGCTGCTCGGGGGGAAGGGGCCGGGCAGGTCTGGCGCCATGGCCTGGGGTGGGGTGCTGGGAGGAGGCCAGGTTCCTAGGAGGATCGCACTGTCCAGAAATGTCCTCTGCCCTGCCCCTCCCTGGCTCAGACCAAAATACTGGCCGCTCCCTGGCTGCTGCCCGGAGTGACTTGTGCCCGCTCTGGAAGCCACCGCCCGGGGCAGCCAGCCGCCCGCAGGGGCCAGACCTCTGATCTGTGCCGCCTTCTAGTGGGACCTCCCGGGAACTGTCCACCTGCCTCCGGAGCAGCATTCCTGCCAGCCAGGTGAGTGCCGGGCGGGCGGGGCGGGTGAGTCGACCTGTGGGTGTTGCTGTGTCTAGAAAGGTGGCCCCAGGCACTGTCTGTGCCACAGCCCTCCATCCCACAGCCCTGGCTGCTGTCCGTCCGTCCGTCCTGTGGCGTCACCTCGCAGCAGGGCCAGCTTGCTGTTCTGGCTGGGGTGCCTCTGAGCGGGACAGCCTGTAGCTGCGCTCCTCACAGGGGTTAGCGGGCCTGTCCCCTTTCCAGCAGCGAGGAACCCCGAGGTGTGGGGTGAGGGAGTGTCTGCCCGCTCTGCTGCCTGGACCCTCCGCAGTGCCCACTCTTTTCTTCTCTTTTTGAATCCTCACCTGAGGACATTTCCCCTAATGATTTCCAGAGAGAGTGGGAGAGAGGGAGGAGGGGGAGAGAGAGACAAACAGATTGATTGGTTGCCTCCGGCACATCCTCCTACGGAGGCTGGGGAATCCACAGCAGAGGGAGGTGCCCTTGTCTGGGAATCAAACCCGAGACCCTTTGGTCCATGGGCTGACGGTCTAACCACTGAGCAAACTGGCCAGGGCCACAGCGCCCACTTTCTGGAGGAAGGAAGGAAGGAAGGAGCGTCTGGCCTTTAGCAGGCTGAGGGGCTTTCCTGGGGCCACGAGGCGAGTAAGGGGTAGGCCAGTCTGTCTCTGAGTGGCCTCCACGCTTCTCGCAGCTGTAGGTAGGTTCCAGCCAGCCTGTGATGTGGGGCCTGGGGAATGCTGGGGTGGGGGGTGGGCGGGGCCTGCATGAGCTCACCACAGGTGCCTGCTGGGGCTTCCCACCCTGGCTGCCAGGGGGGTGAGTCAGCCCGCGGTGGTTGAGGGTCCTCTGCACCCCCAGTGCCCGGGGCTCTGGTCAGGGGAGCCAGGCCCTCCCGCTTTGTAGGGCTGTGGGCAGCAGGCATTGGCCTGGTTGCCATGGGATGGGGGCCCCTGCCCTGCCCTCCGACAAAGTGCCCCGGGTCCCAGGTCAGTGGTTGCTTGGGCATGGGCATCCCTCCGTGTCCCCGCTGGTGTCTGGCTGTCCTCCGGTCAGTCCTGGCGGTGAGGGTGCTCTGACCGCCTCCCCCCTCCCCGCCCCAGGATGGGCGAGTTCAACGAGAAGAAGGCCACGTGCGGCACCGTCTGCCTCAAGTACCTGCTCTTCACCTTCAACTGCTGCTTCTGGGTGAGGCCCTGCCCCGCCCCCCCGCCCTCGGGACTCCCTGCGTAGCTGGAGGGGCTGGTCTGGGCTGGAAGGAGCCTGGTCCTGGGTCCTGTGGTGACGGACCGGTGCGCCCGCAGCTGGCCGGTCTGGCCGTCATGGCCGTGGGCGTGTGGACGCTGGCCCTGAAGAGTGACTACATCAGCCTGCTGGCCTCCAACACCTACCTGGCCACAGCCTACATCCTGGTGGTGGCCGGCGTTGTCGTCATGGTGACCGGTCTCCTGGGCTGCTGTGCCACCTTCAAGGAGCGGCGGAACCTGCTGCGCCCGGTCAGCAGGACAGCTGGCACTGGGTGGGGGGACCTGGGTGGGGGCCTCCCCGCTGCTGGCTGGGGCTGGCTCTGGGGCCCTGACTGGGGAAGAAGGCACTGGGGGTGAGGGGCCGAGTGTGACACTGCAGGATCCTCTGCTGTGCTCCCCGGGGGTGTCCTCCCACCTGCCCGCCCTCCTGTGACTCCTGGGGGTGACACCAGCTCTGAGGGAGGGAAGCCCTCGCCTGCTCTCTGGAGCCCTCACTCTGACCACTGGGGAGCTGAGCGAGGCCACTGTGGAGCCGCCACCAGGAATTCCCGTGGATGGGGTGTGTGTCCCTGCTCACTGCCCCTCCCCTGCAGTACTTCATCCTGCTGCTCATCATCTTCCTGCTGGAGATCGTGGCCGGCATCCTGGCCTACGTCTACTACCAGCAGGTGAGGCGCGGGCAGGCCCCACGCACACGCACACACACACACAGGGAGAGCACACACAGACCCCCCCGCCCCCCCCCAGCTCCAGAGCTGACCACTGTGCCATCAGGCTGGCCGCAGGGTAGGGTGCATGGTGGGGCTCATGGGGAAAGCAGGTGTTCCTGGGATCTGGAGCTCCCTCCCTGCCCCGCCCCCCCGCCCACCTGCCCCTACCTCAGCGGGCACCTGAGCCTGGCCGAGCCTGGCCCTTCCTTCCCCTCCATCCCCCACCCCCTCAGTCCCCCACCCCCCCTCCCGGCTGCCCCGCCCCGAGGGCCTTAGACAGGGGCTGAGTGACCACCACCTCGCCCCCAGCTGAACGCGGAGCTCAAGGAGAACCTGAAGGACACCATGACCAAGCGGTACCACCAGCCAGGCCACGAGGGCGTGACCAGCGCCGTGGACAAGCTGCAGCAGGAGGTTGGTGGGGGCTGGGGGAGCCGCGGGCGGGCGGGCGGGCGGGCGGGCGCTCAGTCGTGCTCTCCCGCAGTTTCACTGCTGCGGCAGCAACAACTCGCGGGACTGGCGGGACAGCGAGTGGATCCGCTCCGGGGAGGCGGGCGGCCGCCTGGTCCCCGACAGCTGCTGCAAGACGGTGGTGCCGCACTGCGGCCAGCGGGAGCACGCCTCCAACATCTACAAGGTGGAGGTAGGAGGGCGCCCGGCCCGGTGGGGGCGCTGGGCGGGGGGGCGGGCGGGGGCCTGCCCGTCCTCAGCGCCCACCCCCTGCCCGCAGGGCGGCTGCATCACCAAGCTGGAGACCTTCATCCAGGAGCACCTGCGCATCATCGGCGCCGTGGGCATCGGCATCGCCTGCGTGCAGGTGCGGCTGGGAGGGGGCGGGCACTGGCGGGGGCAGGGCACTGGGTGGCGGCGGCCGGGCCCTCATGCCCGCCCCTCACCACAGGTGTTCGGCATGATCTTCACCTGCTGCCTGTACAAGAGCCTGAAGCTGGAGCACTACTGACCCGGCTGGCCGGCCGGCCCGCTGGGCCCCTGCACCTTCCCCAGACTACTGAGCGCTACTACTGAGGCCGGGAGCCGGGGCCCCACCAACGTGCCATCCCGTGGCCTCTGGGGAACCCCATCCCCAGAGCTTCCAGTGCCTTCTGCTGCATACCCGTCCTGAGGGACCCCTCCTGCAGTTGGGGGGTCCAGCATTTCTGCTTATGTGGGGGCCTGGGTTGTCGTAAAGCCCCCCCCCCCCCACTTCCCTTGGAGGGGAGGTTATGGCACCTCAGGGGTCTCCCTGGGGCCTGTGCTTAGTTGGAGGGGCTGGTTTGGCCCACCCTAGGGTGCTCCCTGACCCTTGCACACACTCCACGTGGTGGCGGGCAGGCCCGGGAGGGGTGATGCCGGGGCAGGTGCAGGGGAGAGGCTGTGTGCGTCCACCAGTCCCAGTGCTCCCCCAGGGCCCTGCGCCCCTGCTGACTGCCCCATCCCAGCCGCCACTGCTGAGCCTGCTGTGTCATTGCTGCTCTCCCATCACGTTCACTGTCCCCCTCCCCCGGCAGGGGCGGGGCTGTACTCACTACTGTACTCCAGACCTCCCGCACAGCAGTGCTCAATAAACGTTTGTGGATACTCAGGTGCCTCTCTTACTGGGTGGGTCTGGTCACATCTAGCAGGGAGGGCGGAGCCACCCACCCAGGACCACAGGCGGGATGATCGGGGCCAGGGCAGCCAGGTGTGGGCTGAGTCTGACAGGACTCGAGGGACCAATGGCAGGGACAGCTGAGCACAGGCCCAGCAGAACCTGCCCTTCTGGGAAGATGGGCGGCTGGGACCCGGCTGGAGAGGAGCAAGGCCGGGGGTCTGGCAGGATGTGCTGTAATGGGAGCCCCCACGGCATGGCTGTCCACCCCTGGCAGACCCCATAGGTGTCTGGGCCTTGGGGCTGCCTCCCTGGCTCTGAGGTGGGCTCCTGCGTTCTGCTGGCCGCAGGGCATCAGGGCCCACCTGCCCCTCCCCCCAGGTGACAGCTCTGCGGGTGGCCCACGAGGTTAAAGGCAGCGCCGGGCCCGGGCCGCCCGACCCCCTGCAGAGCCTCAGGGCCGCCTGTCCGGCTGGGGCTCAGGCTGGCTGAGCGGCCAGGTGCCGCCCCCCCTCGGCAGGAACTTGGGCTGGGGGGAGGGGCCCGAGCATGGGCAGCCGTGGCCACAGCCGCACTCCATTCTGGGCCCAGAAAGCCTGGTTCCTAAATCCTGGGACGGGGGGCAGGGAGCTCTGCGCTCAGCCTGACCAGCACCCACAGCACGGGGTGGGGTGCCAGTGCCCGCGCCCCTGCTGCTGTTTCTGTGGGGCTGTGAGAGCACCCCCTTCCTGCGGGAGACACCCAGGCTGCGTGGCTGCCATGAGATGGCTCTCCCTCCTCCCAGGCAGTGAGGGCCCACATTCACCCCAAGGCCCCGGCCTGAGGCGGAACACAGGCACAGGCGGCGGCGGGTCCCACAAAGCCAGACGGACGCTGGGACCCCCACGCGGCTCTGCCAGGACCTTTATTGGATGTTCCTTCCAGAGCAGGAGACGTGCACACAGCCGTGGGCAGGCCGTGCTCCCGGCCTGCCAGGCCTCAGCGCGGGGGCCCCTCACTTCTCCAGGGGCGCGTAGTTGAGCAGCTTCTCGATGAGGTCCACGTGGGCCAGCAGCATGCGGCGGCAGCAGTAGCGCTTCAGGCCCAGCGCGTCCAGGGCGTCCCTGCGGGCCGGACAGCGGGCTGTGGTCAGTTCGTGCCAGGCCCCCCCACCCCACCGCTGTGGGGTCCCCCTCAGCTCTGCTGCCGCGGCAGCGAGAAAGGTCTCCCCTCTCTAGACAGCCACCTCGCCCTTTCCCCAAGCCAATAAGAGCTCCAGTTTCCCTGGGACCCAGACCCCCCCCCCCCCCAGGCCTCCGGGAAATTCTCCCTCGGCTGGCCCGTGTGCAGGGGCAGGAAGGGGAGCTTCGCACGCAGGGGGGGTCCAGCGCAAGCCCTTGCCCACCCCGGGCTCCTGTCCTCCTCACACCTGCACCGAGAGCCTGTGGCACGCTGGCACACCCCAGCCCCGCAAATGTGGTCAGGACCTGGCCCTCCGCACAGCGGGAAGGTGCGGCTCTGGGGAACAGAGGCAGCAGGCACGGTGGTGACTGCGCTGGGCGAGCACAGGAACCAGGCGCTGCAGAGCCTCGCAGGCAGACAGCCTGTCTCAGGAAGCTGTCCCGTCCTCGAGGACAGGGGGCCTCCAGGGCCTGGGGTGGCCCGCAGCAGAGGTCAGGGAGCAGGTGGGCAGGGAGGAGGCTGAGGGCTTAACTGTCCGGAGGAGCGCCTGGCTGGTCAGAGCACACCCAGAAGCCCCAACACCAGTGGCTTGATGCCCGACTCCCCTCCGTCCCCCAAACTGCAGGGGGGGGAGCTCTCCTGGGAGCGGGGCTGGGCTCTGGGCCTGAAAGCCCGAGCAGGTCACCTGGGGTCGGTGTGAGTGCCGCCGCCGCCGGCCTGCCTCCCTGCACCCGCCCCCCTGCCCGGCAGACCTGGGCCTCTGCCCCACCTCCCCTTGTCCCAGCCCCATCCCTGCTCCTGGCCCCGGCCCGGCCCCCGGCCCCAACTCCTACTCCTGGCCCCAAGTCCGCCCCGGGCCCGGCCCCGGCCCCGGCCCCCAGCCCCAATCCCTGCTCCCGGCCCCGGCCCCGGCCCCGGCCCCAATCCCTGCTCCCGGCCCCGGCCCCAGCCCCAATCCCTGCTCCCGGCCCCGGCCCCAATCCCGGCCCCGGCCCCATCCCCAATCCCTGCTCCCGGCCCCAATCCCTGCTCCCGGCCCCCGGTCCGCCCCAGGCCCGGGCACATCCCACCGCCCGGGAGGCCCTCGCCGCCCAGCCCGGCGCCTCACCCCTCGGTGTACTCGGCCTGCAGCAGCCCCAGGTAGGCCTCCCACTTGTTGCCGACGATCTTGCCGCACGTGAAGCAGCGGACGGGGATGATCATGGCGGCGGCGGAGCGGTGGTGGCGGCGCGGTGGCGGCGGCGCTCCGGCGACTGCGGCTTTGAGGCCTCAGTCCCCGCCCCCCGGGCGCATCCAAGTGCCGGGGAGGCAGGCCCGCCCCCTCCTGCCCTGCGAGGCCCGGCGGCCCCTTCCCGTCCTGCGGGCCCCGGCGCCGCGGACCTGCACTTCCCGGTGCGACGAGCTTCCTTCGCGCGCGCGCGGGGTGGTCCCAGGCGGCCCGCGGCCGCGGCGGGAGCGGGGGTCGCCCCCCGTCCGGGCTTTGGTACGTCCCGGACTACGGCGTCCGGGCGCGGCCGCAAGGGCTCGGCGGCGCGGTTCGCGTTTCTCGTGTTCGCACGACTGAGAGCGGCGCGGCGGCGGACGGCGGAGCAGGTACAGCGCCCGCCCGCGGGGGTGCGGCCGAGGTCCCGCCCGCGGCGCCGGAGCCGGGCCAGAGCCGGGCCGGGCCCCGGACCGGCGAGGACTCCGAGCCCAGGCTTAGCCCGAGCCGCGCCGCAGCAACAAGTGGCGGGGCGACCCCGCGGGGGCGGGGGTCTGGGCGCGGCCACGGGCGGGTCTTCCCGCCGCCGCTCCGGGCCCGGCCCCGAAAGGGTCCCCGCCCGCAGCCCCTGCCCGTGCCCGGGGGTCTCTGAGGCTGAGTTCTGGGGTCTCCTGGGGTGCCGCCCGCCCGCCCGCACGGCCCCGGCCCGGCCCCGGCCAGGTAGTTACCGGAAGCCGACGGCGGGGGGCTCGGCGGGGACGATCCGTCCGTGGCGCGCCCGCCGGCGGCTCCTCCCCGCCTGCGCGGTGTCCATCGCTTCGCCGCGTCCCTCCGCCCTTCTTCCCGGGAAGGGGCTGCGGGCGAGGGGCTGATGCGTCTGCACCCGCCCCGGGCAGGCTGTGCTGCGTCCCGCGATCTCAGGGCGGCGGACCTCGCTCGGGAGGACGGGAGCGGGGCGGAGAGGGTGGTCAGGGAGGGCGTCGTGGAAGAGGCGACTTTCGGGTTGAACCTTGAAGAACACGGGGGTTTCACAGGGGTGAGCCTGAGTGTGTGAACAAGGACGGATCCTGGCAAAGGGAACCCCTGGGCAGGGCCTGGAGGTTTTACCTGCGGGGTAGCTCCAGGAGGCAGGTTTGGGCTGGGCCCGGGTAGGTGGTGGAGCCAGAGGTGATGGGGCAGGAGCGGTGGAGGGGTTACAGGGAGGAGAGTGTGTGTCCAGACATGGGGTGGGGTGAGCCCCAGGATCCTGGGCTGCGGCTGGGTCTCCCTGCAGGAGGCGAGCACTGGGCTTGGGGGCCCCCGTGACAGGCTGTGTGCGGCTCCCTGGCCTGGGACAGACATCCGGGCCTGTGTTGGGTCCCAGGTGTCAGCTAATTGTCATCTCTGACCTTAGTTGGGGGGTCAGGGAGGTGGAGGGTCCTCTGGGTCCCGGGTAGAGCTGGCCAGACCTGCTGCCCCCCCCCCCCCAGAGTTTGTGCCTCCACCTTTGCCTGGACCCGTGGCCGCTTCCCCAATGGCATTTGCCATCCCCCATCCTGCCACGTGCAGAGCCACGAGCCAAAGCAACTTCCCTCCCCTGACACCCCTCAACCCCCCTCCCACCGACTGGACGTACATCCTGTCCCTGGCCAGATGGGCAGGCTCTGGGGCCTTGAGTCACGGTGGCCTGGGGTCAGACCCAGGCTCAGCCACAGAAGCTGCCAGAAGTGGTGGAGGTGAGAGGGAGCCCAGGAGGGCAGGGGGGTGCCCGCGGGTGGCCCATGGGGAGGGGGTGGGGGCAGAAGGCCTCCTGGGGGAGGGGCCAGGCCTGCCCGCCAGTGCGCGGCGGAGGGAGCCTTTGTTTACTGGGAGTGAGGGGAGCGAGTCTCCGCCCGGATCGCACGGAGCCAAGTTGACATTCCTGGAATTCTGAGAGCCGGATGCAGATTTGGGGGCGGTGGCAGCATCCTCTCGCCGAGCTGCCTCCCTCCGGCTCCCTGATTTCCCAGGAGAGGCCATGGGGAGCGGAGCGGCTGCCCGGCCCGGCTGCATTGCCCCAGCGCCCGTGCGCAGACGCCCCTCGGGGCACTTGGGGTTCGCAGTCCTCCCGGCTCAGCTCTGCCCAGGCTGGACCACAGGAGCCCGGGGAGCCTCAGAGGTCAGCCCTGACGCCCCCTCACCCACACCACCCCCGCCTTGGTCCTGAGTGTGCGCGCGCGCGCGCGCGTGTGTGTGTGTGTGTGTGTGTGTGCACGGGTGAGCGTGCACTGGGGAGAAAGCTGAGGAGAGAGCCAGGCTCTTCAGAGTGGCCAGGGAGGAGGAGCCACGGGGCCCCGGCACTGGTGGGGATGTGGGGGACTCTGCCCGCCTGCCGGGTCCTGGGGGCCGGTGGTGACCCCCTGTGGATGTCAGCACAGATATGGCCGGGCTTCTGGGGAGGACCAGAGGGTGAGGTACGGGGTGTCCTGTCCCAGAGTGGGGAGCTGTGCTCACATGGTTTGGAACTCATGAGCTGTGCTTCCCGCCAGCACGGGTCACTTGAGGGCGGGCAGGGGAGAAGGGGAAATCCAAGATTGAAGTTTTCACTGCTGAGTCTCTGGCCTTGAGCGTTGTCCTGGAGACAGGCCCCGCCCACTGGCCCTGGGTCACAGCCTCAGTTTCCCCTTGGGGAACCAGAGCTGTGGGGCTGGAGGGCCTGAGCGTGGCTGTGTGGACGTGGGCTGGGGCTTGGCCAGTGGCTCCGGTGTGTGCTCACCCTGGATGCACGGGGGTGGGGGGAAGGGGTGGGGCGGGCAGGGTCCATGAACATTCAGGTGTGGGCTCCTCCCCAGAGTCAGCGGGGCGCCCACCTCTGCACCCACACCAGCCCCGGGTTGTGGGTGTGGTGTGGCAGGGGTGCTGGAGCCTGGAGTGGCCCTGACCTCATGACCTACTGGGCACAGCTGGCAACAGCCTTTGAGAAGGTCCCTGCCTGCCGGCCCCGCCGGGTGCCTCTGCCGGATGTGGGCTCCCTGTGGGGGGTGGGTCCAGGGGTGCAGGCCTTCACGGAGGCGGGTGGGCATACACTGGGCATCTGAAGCCGGTGCTCCGGGGCCTTGGAAGTGGGCAGGCACCCCTCCCCAGGGTCCTAACGGTGCCCCCTCCACCTCTAGCTCCCCGTAGCCTCCAGTGGAGGAATAGCGGGGGAGGAGGAGGAGGCGGAGGAGGAGGAGGAGGAGGAGGAGGAGGAGGAGGAGGAAGAGGAGGAGGGTGGAGCAGGCCCTGAGCTCCGGCTGGCCTGGGGGGCGCAGGAGGAGACCGGAGGCTCCGCCCAGCAGGACCCTCCTGGGAGCAGGTGTCTCCCAGCCCCTGGGGCCCTGGTTTGGGTCAGGGCGACAGCCCGCCTGGGTCCTGCGAGCGGATGGGTGCCAGCCTGGTGCCTGCGTGCCCCTCCCCCGGGGCTGGGTGGGCGCTGGGCCCTGTGGCTGAAGCAGCAGCAGGAGGGGCCACCGCAGGCCTGTTTGTGTTGGCCGGGCCTCCGGCTCCTCAGAGCTGCCGCTGCCTCCGCCCCGGGCTGGCCGCCCTGCTGGGCCGTGGGCGGCCAGGCCCTCCGCGGGCTCGGGGGCCACCCAGCCAATCGCCTGTCTGTCCCTCCGCCCGGGCCTCCATCTGAGGCGGGCTGCTGTTTCCCGGCTGTTTCCTTTGGGGGTGTAAGTCACTGGGTGTCTGGGACCTGGAGCCTTGGGCAGAGCCCGGAGGGGCCCTGGCCTGAGTCGCTCACACGCCCGGGCCCTACCCCCCCAGAGGCACAGCCTCACCCTGCCGTCTTCCCTCCGCAGAGCTCCCGCCGCCTGCCGTGGCCCTGCTGACCCGTGCCTGCCGGCCTAGGGCCCTGACACCGCCTGGCTCCCGGGGCAAGCCCAGGTACGTCACTGCTGGCCGGGCTGAGGGGACAGGTCTGGCTGCCTCCTGGCTTCACCTGGGCCTGGGCCTGGGGCCGTGCCAGCCGATGCTGCCTCCCCAGGGTGCTCTGCCGGAGCCCCACCTGCTTCAGGAAGGGGCTGGACTTGGGGGACAGGATCCCAGCCCCCGACCTGTGTCCACACCCCTACTGACCCTGGTGCTGGGTCGGGTCTCCCGGTTTCAGCTCAGACTCACCTGCTCACCTGGAGTGATGGCACAGGTTTGGGCGATGGCAATGGGGGTGGCGGGAGTTTTGGGGGACGCCGAGGCAGCACTGGCTGAGGGAGATGGGACTGAGGGCATCCGGGGTGCTGGGCTCAATGCAGATGCCTAAGCCCCAACATAATGCAGGCATGGAGGGGGGCCCAGGGGAGCCCTGCCCACCACTGCCCTGCCCAGCCTTGGCCCCGGAACCCTTCGTTGTCCTCAGAGGCCCTGCCCTGGAGCCGGGCCCCCATCCTCACCCACCTCTGGCCAGCACCTTCAGTACAAGGGGCGTGGGTGCATGTTTGGGGGTGTAAGTCACTGGGTGTCTGGGACCTGGTTCGGGTCCAGCCCAGTGTGTGTGGACGGTCCCGGGCTCGGACTTCCAGCCGGGGCTGGTGCAAGTGGAAGTTGGGCCCTGGGTTCAAAAATCACCACGAATTTCCAAAGGCGGTGGTGAAGGTCACACCAGCGGGGCTCCGAGTGGCCCGAGGCAGCAGAGGCAGGTCTGGCTGGGAGAGGAGCGGGGTGCGGGGCGGGCGGGCTGGTCACTGGGCCTGGAGTGGGCCTGCCTCTGGGTCCCCAGCCGTCACCCTCACTGGGGGTCGAACCGCAACCTCCCGGGTCATAGGTCGGTGCTCAACCACTGAGCCAGGTGGGCCGGGCACTTCTTATTTATCCTCATTTTATGTGTTAATCCTCATCGGAGGGTATTTTCCCATTGATTTTTAGAGAGAGTGAAAGGGAGGGGGGGTGGAAAGAGAGAGACATCGATGTGAGAGAGACACATCGACTGGCTGCCTCCCACACATGCACTAGTCCGGTGGGGGATTGAACCTGCAACCGAGCTACATGCCCTGATGGGTAATTGAAGGAATTGAACAGTGACCATGGGCTGATGCTCTAACCACTGAGCAACACAACCAGGGCTCTGGCCCTCTCTTTAAGTCTGAAAACTTCTCAGACCTGCCTTGCAGAGTGACCCCCCTTCCCCCCCCAGCACCCAGGACGCCCCCCCCAGCTCCGTCCTCCCCCCCAGCTCCATCCTCCCCCCCAGCTCCATCCCCCCCAGCTCCGTCCTCCCCCCCAGCTCCATCCTCCCCCAGCTCCGTCCTCCCCCCCAGCTCCGTCCTCCCCCCCAGCTCCGTCCTCCCCCCCAGCTCCGTCCTCCCCCCCCAGCTCCGTCCTCCCCCCAGCTCCGTCCTCCCCCCCAGCTCCGCCCCCCCCAGCTCCGTCCTCCCCCCCAGCTCCGTCCCCCCCAGCTCCGTCCTCCCCCCCAGCTCCGTCCTCCCCCCCAGCTCCATCCCCCCCAGCTCCGTCCTCCCCCCCAGCTCCGTCCTCCCCCCCCAGCTCCGTCCTCCCCCCCAGCTCCGTCCTCCCCCCAGCTCCGTCCTCCCCCCAGCTCCGTCCTCCCCCCAGCTCCGTCCTCCCCCCCAGCTCCGTCCTCCCCCCCCGCTCCGTCCTCCCCCCAGCTCCATCCTCCCAGGGAGGGGCTCCGGGCGGCGGCGGGCGGGTTTGCCAGCGGCTGGGCCTGAGGGAGGGATGGAGGAGGGTGGGAGGGAGGAGGGTCGGCGCGGGGGCGGAGGCGGGGCGGGGGCCGGGGCGGGGCGGGGGCGGGTCGTCGCCGGCGGGATTGGCCGGCGGCGGGGCCGGAGGGAGGGAGGGAGGGAGGGAGGGAGGAGGGTCGGCGCGGGGCGGGGGGCGCGGCGCGGGGCGGGGCTTCGGGCCGGGCGCGGGCGCGGGCTGCGGGCGGGCGGGCGGGCCGGGTCCGGACCCGCGGGTCTGCGCGGGCTCGGGCTGCACCGCGGGGCCGGGGCTCCGGGGGCCCGGGGGGCGGGAGGCGCGGCGGCGGCGGGATGCGGCGCGCGGCGGCGGCGGGCGCGGGGCGCTGAGCTCGGGCCGCCGGGATGCGCCGCTCCAGCACCGACGAGTCCACGTACCGGCGCAGCCCGTCGCCGGAGGGCAAGCGGCCGGGCGGCCCGTTCCGCCGCTGCAGCGGCCTCTACGGCGACGGCGGCCCGTTCGGCCCGCAGGCGGCCCCGCGCCCGCCGCCCAAGGGCGCCCGGTACGTGGTGCTGTACCTGGACCTGTCCTTCATCTTCCTCCTAGAGCTCAAGCGCTGCGGCATGGCGCGCGGCTGCCTGCAGGCCGTCAAGTACCTCATGTTCGCCTTCAACCTGCTCTTCTGGGTGAGTGGCCGGGCCGGGCCGGGGCCAGGGAGACCCGCGCCGGCCGAGGGGCGGGATGGAGATGCGAGGTCCCCGGGGCGCTGCTTGGCCGGACCGGCCGCTGGGGCGGGTGCCCGCGCGGGGCAGGGGGCCGGCCGGGCCTCCACCCTGGGAGCTGGGCGGGTCCTCTTCCCCAGGGGTGCCCCGCGGGAGATGCCCGGGTCCGCTGGGCTGTGTGCTGGGCTGGTGCTCCGCTCTGCTTCCCTCCGCCCGCAGCCTGAGTTCTTTACTCCTCCCCCCGCCCCCATCAAGTGGACCCACCTACCAGTCCCAGTCCCAGGGACCCCAGCTTATGAGGGGCTGTAGGGTGAAGTACCCCGTCTCTGGAGAAGCGGGGGAAGGGAGAGGGTGCGCGCTGTGGGTGGTGCCGGCTGGGACAGTGGGCTGTGGGACCGGAGGGGCGTCCCGCCTGCTGCCTCTCCTCCAGCAGGCTGGGCGGCTTCCAGAACTTCTGCGGAGACGGGAGGTGCCGTGTCTGTCGGGGGGCCCCTCCCCGGGACGGGGACAGTTGCCTCCGGACCCAGGCTGGGACCCCGGCCGCAGGGCGTGGCTGTGGCGGAGCCAGGGTCACACCTGCCCAGGTCGGAGATGCCCGGCCAGGCCTCCGACCCGCAGGCTGGGCGGGAGGCTGCTGGAGAGGAAGTCAAGGTCACTCCGCTTCCTTCATTAATTCCTGGGCCAAAGCCCTTCACCACTGGGAGCAAGGGGCGTGGCTCTCCTCCCTGGGCTGGACCGAGGGAGGCTGCATTTGCATGCTCATTTGCATGTGGTCCGGTGGAGGACAGATGCCTAGGGACCCAGGGCTACCATTCTGCACCTCCCTCCATCCTGGGCCCCGGCTTTTCTCTCTCCCACTTTGGGGGGCGTGAGGGGTCACTGGGAGGGGCAGCTAGCCTGGGGTCAAATGTGAGGTGTGACCCAAGGCGGCTCTTGCCTAAGATGCCTGCTTTTCGGAGGGTCGGTCGCCCTAAGCGTTTGTTCTCTGCCAGGGGCTCCTGGGCGAGGGGGGCCAGGCCCGGAGCCCGCGGAGCGGTGGGTGCGGCTGGAGCTCCGAGCCGACAGCTGCAGGGCCACCGGCATGGGTAGGGCTGATGGCTGCAGAGGGGACCAGAGCTGGCAGCCACAGGTGTTGCCAGGGTGGGCCTGTGGGTTGGGGCCTGGGGGGGGCCGTGGCCAGGTCCCTGCTTCTCACCCAGCTGCCCACAGCCACGGGACACCTGCCTGCGAGGAGAGGGGAGCCTCACGGGGCCTGTGCGCGGGGAGCTCGGGGTCCCCAGCCGGGGCCTTCGCCTGCGAGGCCCCCGGAGCTTCTCCAGCAGCTCGGGCTCGCCAGGCCGGTAACAGCCCCGGGGGGGAACCCCACCCTCCGCTCAGCCCCCCCGGCCCACCGCGGCAGCTGCAGGCCTGACTCGCAGCCGGTGGGCAAGTGTTGGCATTCTTTTTTCTTTTTTTAATGTATTTTATTGATTTTTTTACAGAGAGGAAGGGAGAGGGTTAGAGAGTTAGAAACATCGACCAGCTGCCTCTTGCACACTCCCTACTGGGGATGTGCCCGCAACCCAGGTGCATGCCCTTGACCGGAATCGAACCTGGTACTCTTCGGTCCGCAGGCTGACGCTCCAGCCACTGAGCCACACCGGTTAGGACTGATGTTGACATTCTTGAACTGCTTGTAGAATGACCTGCATGTAGATGGTGCCCTCCGCCATGCCAGCCCCCATGCTGAGGCTGTGTCGGCTGCCAGGGAGGGGCTTCTGGGCACAGGCTTGGCCCCTAGCCCTCCACCCCATTCCAAGGACATGGCCTGCTGCCCGGCCATCTGCCACCCTGAGCCGTGTGGCCAGAGAGCTGTCAGCACAGGGCCTGCTGGTACCCACCCGGCCCTGGGCTGCAGGTGATGGCATCACCAGCCGTGCCCAGGCCGGTGGAAAGTGCGAGACCAGGAACACAGCAGCAGGCAGGCAGGCGGGTCGCAGCGGGGGCAGGTGAGGGCAGGGTGCTGAGAGGCAGGGAGGCTCCGGGGGCCGAGGCTGGATCCCCCCTCCCAGGCTGTCGTGTGGTTAGGGTCTGCCGTGGCCCCGCTGGGTTTCCGTCGAGCTGGGGAGTGGGCCCCGCCGTGTCCCAGGCAGTGGGCAAGCGGCTGGGGAGGTGCGGGTGGACACTGGTAAGCAGGGTGGCGCCCTGGGTCCCCAGCTTCGCCGTCCAGCCAGCCTGCCCGGGGAGGGCTGGGTGCTCTGGCCTCGGGAGCCGGCTGGTGTGTCCTCCTCCTGTGATGTTCTGTGTCTGGATGTAATGGGGCCCATTTTTCTCCTGCACTCGGAGGCTGTAATTTTCCTGCCAAAATGTTTTAAAAGCTGCAGACGCAGAAACATTCCGAAATTATAGGTAATTTTATTAAGCACAGGCGTGCAGTGTTGGCGCCTGTTCTGTGTGAATGTGCTTGATGTGGAGGGGCCGGGGCCGGGCGCAGGGCCGCGTGTTGGGAGCCATGAGGGTGCCCGGGCCTGGGTCCCCGTGTGGATGGCGTGTGTCAGGGTCTCTCCTCCATCTCGGGCCGAGGCCCGGGCATTTCCCGGTGTTCACTAAGGAAACGCCCCCCAGGCTGGCTGTGGGGCCACCCCTCCTGGCCCCCGACCCCGGACGGCCCCTTCCTGCCGTCCCTTCCTGTGCCGCCCGGCAGCTTCCCCTCCGAGCAGCGTGCTCTCGTTTCCCGCCGGCAGAGCCATCCCCAGCCTGGAGGCCGCGGGCGGGCAGGCAGCTGGTTTTAAATAACAGCTCAGCGCCTCCAGGTCAGGGACCGGCCCAAGAGGCAGCCTCCCCCACCGGGCTCAGCCTGCGGCCCAGAGCTGTGAGCTGGTGAGGGGCCAGGGCCGTGCTGGCTCTGCGGTGAGGATGGTCCGGGGGTGTGTGTGTGTGTGTGCGTGCGTGCCTGTGCCTGGGTGTGCGGAGTGTGAGGAACCAGCTGCTGAGTGTGTGTGGCAGACACCGGGTGATGTGTCCATCCGGGCAGCCTCCCCTGGCCCGGGCTCCGTGGCCCGTCACAGTCCCGCTTCCTCAGGGGCCCGTGTGCCGAAGGCGCTGGTCACACAGGGGGCCTCTGGGAACCCCCAGGCCGGCCGGGCAGTGCTGGGCTGGTCAGCCTCTGCACCCTGTCCCCCAACTCGCTGCCTAGAAGCACGGGGCCCTGGCACATCCTGCCCTTTGGCCGCTGCAGCCCCCACCTGCCTGGGAGGGGCACAGCCGGGACTGCCCAGAGGGACTCCAGATGCCATGGGAGCCTGGGCAGAGCTCACCGCCCCCCGGTAATTGTGGTTTCCTGCTGGCAGCTGGCTTAATGCACCACGTGGGATGGAGACAGTGATGGAGACAGCGCAGCTGCCGCCCCCACGCCCCACGCCCGGCCGTGGCCAGGCTGACTGTGGGGGAGGGGCTCAGACAGGGCTCTGAGCTGTGGGTCCCTGTCACACTGGAGGCCGGACCTCGGCTCACTGTCTGGGAGATGGGTACCAGCCTGGCTGTTGGGCGTGGGAGCTTTGTGGGTGATGTGGCTCTTGGTGGCCCCGCTGTCCGGGGTGAGCAGGGGCGCATCTGAGGGGTAGTTGTGCCCGGGGCTGCCCTGAGGCCAAGCCCATGGGGGCCGAGCCCAGACTGGCAGGATGCTCCTGGGCCCTGGGCGGGGGGGCTCAGGGTCCCATGACTATCCAGTCCTCGCCTTCCCAGGCCATCAGCCGTCGGTCCCCAAGTGCTGCCAGCATTTGTGGGGCTGCCTGCACCCCGGGACACAGCCTCCGTTTCACCCTGAGCCGACCCAGAGCCCAAGGCTCATTGTCTGAGGGAGGGCTGGAGCCACAGCCCCTTGGCCAGCCCTGGGCGCCTCGCCGCTCCCCCTTCTTCCTCTGTTTTAATTGTTTTTTGTAATGAGCAATTACAAAATCCGGTAAGAGCTGCCGTGGTGAGGGAGGAGGCAGCGAGGGCAGGAGCAGGCTCCGCCCCGGGCGTCCTGCACTCCGGGCCTGTGGGTGCTGTGGGCGGCCCACCCAGCGGGAAGCCAGGATACAGGAAGAGCAAGCGCGAAGGGTTCCCTCTATGGCACATGTGTCAAACACAAGGCCCGCGGGCCAAATCCGTCCCGCCAGGCCTTGCAATGTGGCCCGCACCGCGCTGTCATCACTGCACTCCGCTGCGTTTCCATCACAATGACAGTTTATGACTGTTCAGTAAACCATTCGGCCCGCGATTTAGGCTGGATTTTAGATTTTGGCCCCTTCTCTGATTGAGTTCGACACCCCTGCTCTATGGCGTCTGGGGCCCGAAGGTGGGCTCCCTGGGCTGCTCCAGTCCGGTGGGGGGTGAGGTGCAGGCTGTGTTCTGGGCGGAGGGGACGCTTCTTGGACGGTGGGGTTGGGGGTGCTCTGGGGCCCCCGTTCATGATAGCGAGTGTCCGCAGACCAGCGCCCCCACCAACCCCGGTGGCCACGCCTGGTGTGGGCCTGGGTCGGGGTGTCGGGACGAGACCGGGAGGGAGGGGCCCTCGAGGGGCAGGGCTCGCCTGGACGCCCCGCTGCCGCCTCACCACCCCTCTCGCCTGCCCCCGCCAGCTGGGAGGATGCGGCATCCTGGGGGTGGGCATCTGGCTGGCTGCCACGCAGGGGAACTTCGCCACCCTGTCCTCCTCCTTCCCGTCCCTGTCGGCCGCCAACCTGCTCATCGTCACCGGCACCTTCATCATGGCCATCGGCTTCGTGGGCTGCATTGGGGCCATCAAGGAGAACAAGTGCCTGCTGCTCACCGTGAGTGCGGGGGCGGGGCCTGTGCGGGGGGCGGGGCCTGTGCGGGGAGGGCGTGGGCGCAGGCTCCCACTCATGGCGCCACCTCCTGGGCTGTGGGCTGCTCTGAGGCAGGGGCCTCCCGACTCAGGACACGTGCCCACCGTCACATGCGTGACAGGCCTGTTTCCCAGGACTGTCCTTCGGGACCCCAGCCCCTGCCCCCCCCCCTTCGCCCTGGGGCCCTCTGGAGATGCTCCGGGCCTTGGAGGTGGACTTGGGCGGGATGCGTGACCCTGACCGCAGAGAACTCGGAGGGCGTGGCCGCCCAGGACAGGGTCGCTGCAGGCCAGGCGGCTGGCGGGAGGGCCGGGTGCTGAGCCCCCCTCACCCCTGCAGTTCTTCGTGCTGCTGCTGCTGGTGCTCCTGCTGGAGGTCACCGTCGCCGTCCTCTTCTCCGCCTACACCGACAAGGTCAGCCCCTCGGCACCGGCTTCTGGGGGCCCCAGGACGAGTCGCCCCTCAGACGCCCGCTCCCTGTGGGCCATCTCCCACTTGTTCCCTTAACCGCCTGCTCACATTAGGCCGGGCCTGCTACGCGTTTGTTCCGGGTGTGACCGGGACTGCCTGCCTGCGCGAGGCCCTCGGTGGCTCCCGCCGCCTGGGCAGACCCCACTCTGTGGGGAGCACTTCCCCGTCCTTCCTGGAGCCCTGGGGGGCGGGGCCCGGTCTGCTCCTCACAGGGGTGGGGAGTAGAAGCCTCAAGCCCGCAGCCAATGTGGTGGCTGAGTGTGCTTGGGGGGCGGGGAGGCACACCCAGCTGGAGTCTGTGCATCTACATCCAGCTGAGCGGGCTGCTGTGTCTGACTCACCCGGTGCTCAGCACCCAGGGGCGGAGAGGGGAGAGCTAGGGCCTGGGCGCTGGGGGGACTCCAGGGAGGGCAGGCTCTGCTGACCACACAGCCCTGTAGATCGACAGGTATGCGCAGCGAGATCTGAAGAAGGGCCTGCACCTGTACGGCACCCCGGGCAACGTGGGGCTCACCAACGCCTGGAGCATCATCCAGACCGACGTGAGGGGCATGGCTGAGGGCGTGAGGGCCTGTGGGGTGCTGGACCCGGGGGTGCTGGGTGTGTGGTGGGGCCCTCAGCGAGGTCCGCTGGTGCCTCCCGCAGTTCCGTTGCTGCGGTGTCTCCAACTACACGGACTGGTTCGAGGTCTACAATGCCACGCGCGTGCCGGACTCCTGCTGCCTGGAGTTCAGCGAGAGCTGCGGGCTGCACGCACCTGGCACCTGGTGGAAGGCGGTGAGCCGGCGCCCGCCCCGCCCGTCTGCTGGTTTGGCCCCAGGACCTGGGGGTAGAGGGCCGGCCTCACAGCAGTGTGCCCTGGGAACCCCGCCCTTCTTCCGGCCCTGCTGACACCCCCCTTCCTCCAGCCCTGCTATGAGACGGTGAAGATGTGGCTCCAGGAGAACCTGCTGGCCGTGGGCGTCTTCGGGCTGTGCACGGCGCTGGTGCAGGTACGGAGGGTGGCAGCTCCCGCACTGAGGCCCCGGGGAGCCCCGTCCCCAGGCAGAGGTGGGGTCCGTGGGGGTGGAGGGACCCTGCATGAGCGAAGTGGGTGAGGCGCAGCCTGGACACCTGTGAGGATCCTGGGCACTCCCAGCCCTGTTCTTGCAGCCCCTGCCCAGCGGGCTGATGGCAGGTCCAGCTGGGGGCCCTGCTCCCTGACCTCTGGCGCCAAGGAACCCGAGTGACTGCATCCTGGGGGCTAAGCCATATCAGTCACCTTGGCCATCAGGGCAGCCATCGTCCCTGGGTTCGAAGCCAGAGCGGATGAACACGATTACAGTTGGATGAATGGGCAAGGGACAGGGTGCTGGGGCCCAGTGGGTGGGGAGGGGGCCGCTGACCCATGATGCAGCCGCCCTGAAGAGCCCAGGCTGGGCATGCCAGCGAGAGGCGGGCTGTGCCTGCAGGGCTGAGGGTGGTGGTGATGGACCTAAATTGCCAAGGGTGGGGGGCATCCTGAGGAGGGGCCGGGTGCCCGCAGGCAGGATGTGGCTCTGCTCAGCACCCCGACCCCCGTGTCCCCGCAGATCTTGGGCCTGACTTTCGCGATGACCATGTACTGCCAGGTGGTGAAGGCCGACACCTACTGCGCATAGACTGCCCTGCCGGCCACCCAGCTTCGCTGCCAAAGGATCCACCCACCGGGAGACGGCCTCGTCCCCTGGGCCTCTGAGCACGTGCCAAGGGGCAGCTGGCGCCTTCGGGGTCCACGCCCACGTACTCCGCAGAGCGGCTCTCCCTGGACCCTGCCCAGGGCTGGGGTGGGCGAGGGCCTCCTGCTGGCCGGTGCTGGGGCGGAGCCCCGTCCTCACATTCCACACGGGCAGGGCAGGCCCGGTGCGTATATAAGGTGCGTGGGCAGCAGCCCCTTTTCACTGCCCTGACCCCCCCCTGGGCACACCGTGGCTGTGGCCTCCCCCACCGTGGGGCTGGTGCCTGGAGTGGGGCTCTGTGACCCACAGGCTCGGGTGAGCTGCCAGCCAGCAGGTGGGGCTGAGTGCGAGGACAGGCCCCAAACCTCCACTAGATGAGCTCCAGGAAGTGGTGCAGGGGCCCCGAGAACCACCAGGAGCCCCGACCTGTCCATGTCTCTGTTCCTCTGCATCTGTCCCCCTTCCTCCAAGCTGTGTGTCGTCCCCCCCCCCCCCCCCCCCGCTGTGTCAACAAGGGGAGTGCGGTTCCTTGCTGCCCGTTAGGGAACGTGGCCCCGAGGTGTCTCTCTGTACGACTTTGCAAATAAAGGGGCCGTGGGAGCGAGCAGCTGCCAGGCCCAGCACCAGCCAGGCGCCTCTGGGGCTTCCTGTGGCCGGGCTGATGGGCAGTGAGGGCTGGGGGCTTCCTGTCGCCGGGCGGATGGGCAGTGAGGGCTGGGGGCTTCTTGTCGCCGGGCGGATGGGCAGTGAGGGCTGGGGGCTTCCGGTGGCCGGGCGGATGGGCAGTGAGGGCTGGGGGCTTCCTGTCGCCGGGCGGATGGGCAGTGAGGGCTGGGGCTGGGGTCCAGGTTGAGTGGACCGCTCAGGAGCCCCAGGCTGCGGGGCACCTGTCCACAGCCCCATTCCGGCCTGCTCCGTGGTCCGGCCTTGGTCAACCCGCCCAGTGACCGCAGGGTGCCCCATGTCCTCCGAACGAGCACATGCTGTGACCTGGGGAGTTCACAGGGGCTTCCTTACACGCCAGCGGCCAATGCCCGAAGTGAGGTGAGAAGTCACAGCAAAGCGGACTCCAACCTGCAGCACCTGCCCTGTGCCCGGCTCCACCAGCGCTTGGCTCACCCAGGACACCTGAGGTCCTGGGCACGGGGCAGGGGCCTCCCCCCAGGGGGACAGCTGTCCTTCAGCTCCTCAATCTGAGTGCCCCCAATGTTTGATCCCAGGAGTGGCTGTCCTGCAGGTGCTGAGACTGGCCAGGGTGCTGTCATTCCAGTGACCACAGCCGCTGGCACCAGGCCCAGTGTCGGAGCAGGTTTTGGCAGTGGCCTGGCGCTCCTGCCATGGGGACTTGGTGGCTTGTTGTCTGTGTGAGGCCCAGGGTGACGCGGCGGGGCCGGCCCTGAGGAGTCCAGGTCTGGGAGCTGTCACTCCGAGGCCTCCAGACCCACCTGGAACACTGGCTGCATGGAGCGGCCGGACGCCCGCACCCGGGGGCACCTGTCCTCGTGGTGCCCCGCCAAGGACTGCGACAGACAAGGCAGGAGGCAGAGAAAGGCCTGTATTTCCCACGCCCACGCCCGTGCGTCCACTGCTGAGGTGTGCCCAGAGCTGGGCCTAGAGCAGGTCGTAGAAGTAGTCCAGGCCCTGGCCCAGCTCCCAGATGGACAGCCCAACGCCCAGCTCCTGGGCCAGCTCCAGCCGCAACTGCACGGACTGCACACAGGCAAGCGTCACTGCCTCGTCCCCAGCACAGCCCCCGTGGCCCACGCGCCCCGAAACAGGCCCAGGTCAGCCCTTCCCCCAGAGGGAAGTCTGACCCTGCACAGCCCCGCTGCCCACCTCGGCCTCTCAGTGCAGGTCACTGGCCTGGGCTCTGGCTGTCCCCCCGCCCCCGGGCGGCCCACACACCTTCAGACTCGGGTAGAAGATGATGTGCTTCCCTCCTCGGTTTCTGCAAAGGCAGTGGGACCGAATGCCTCCCACTTCCCCTGGCCCTCAGGGCAGAGGTGGGCGTGTGGCAAGGGGCCCAGCCAGCCCCTCAGCCCAGGGCGCGTCCCGGACACTCACCTCTTGTACTCCAAGAAGTGTTCTGCGGCCTGGCTGTCCCACTCGATCCGCGGCCTGTGCTCTCTCAGGGTCTGGATGTACCTGGAGAGGCCGGGGGTGTGTGTGTGTGTGTGTGTGTGTCAGTGCCAGGAGAGGGAGGGGCGAGGGGGAGGCCGGCGGTGGGGGCCCAGGGGCAGGAGGCATGACCAAGCGCCTTCCCAGAATTCGACGAAGGCCTGGCCTGCCAGAGGCCCCCGGGGGCCGCATGCACATGGGGCAGCTCATCGGGCTGGAGGCCGTGCCTGACCCTCTCGGGGCGCCCTTCCTCTGTGCAGTGGGTCACTGCCAATCAACGGTGTCCCTGCCCACAGGCTGCCCTAAGCTTGGGACGGCTCTGGGGGGGCGCAGTGGCCTTCCAGATGCCCTGGTGGGAGGGGACGTCCCTCCTGACCCCCCACAGCCCTGCACACTCCCCACTGACCCTCATGCCGGTCACAGAGACACGGACCCAGGGGAGGCGCGATGGCGGGCTAAGGCGTGTCCGGCCCCTGTGGGCCTGTCTGCCCTCACACCTCCTCTGGGGGCTCCCCACAGTGGGCACCAGGTGCCCATCTCTGGAGGACAACCTCCCACCGCCATGGAGGCCGTGGCCCGAGCCCATGGGGTGTGGAGAGGAGCGCCTATGGGTCCAAGCTGGGCGAGGCGAGCCCAGCCCCTCGGGCCATCCACCCGGTCCCATCCTGGGCACGCGAAACCCTCCGGGCTGGGAGCTGTGCCCTCCGGGCCCTGGTGGCCCTGCAGCCCAAGACTGTGTGTGTGAGTGTGTGTGTGTGTGTGTGTGTGTGTGTGTGTATGTGTGTGTGTGTGTGTGTATGAGTGTGTGTATGTGTGTGTGTGTGTGAGTGTGTGAGTATGAGTGTGTGTGTGTGAGTGTGTGTGTGTGAGTGTGTGTGTGTATGTGTGAGTGTGTGTGTGTGTGAGTGTGTGTGTGTGAGAGAGTGTGTGTGTGTGTGTGTGTGTGTGAGTGTGTGTGTGTGTGTGTGTGTGTGGGTGAGTGTATGTGTGTGTGTGAGTGTGTGTGTGTGAGTGTGTGTGTGAGTGTGTATGTGTGTGTGTAGGGGGCGTCCTGGGGCATCACCCAAACCACAGCCCTCCCTCGGGGCAGACGTGACCCCGGCCTGTTCTGAAAGCCTCCAGCTGACCTGCCTGCCTGCCACAGGCCAGCTCTCTTCACCCACATGCCCTCAGCCCTCTCCTGCACGACCTAAGTGGCGCTGACCTCCGTTTGCCCTTGAGGCCCAAGTCACAGCCGCTTGTCATTCATTCCGGCCCCTGGGGAGGCCCTGCTGGGCGGCAGCATCTGCTCCTGCCAAGGTGAGGCTGGCTGCAGCACGGGCCAGGCGGCTCCCCTGATGGTAGCCAGCCGCACCCTGGGCCCCGGGACCCCTCTCCCCACCTGCTTCCTCAGGCCCCGAGGCCAGGGCTGGCCGGCCCTCTCCTGTCAGGGAGGGGCTCATTTGGGAGGGGAGTCAGCAGGGGCTGCAGCCCAGAGGGGATATAGCCTTCCATCCCTGGCTGGAAGCAGCCAGACCCAATGCATCAGAGAGCAGCGGTATACGTGTATGAACAGGTGCACACTCCTGTACATGCACACACATACACACACGCGCACACACTCCCCCCCTTCACGTCAGAATGCCTTTTCCGCAGCCCCTGGCCTTCAGAGCAGCTGGGGCTGGGGGCCACGTGGAGCCTTTAGTCACCTGACCCCAAAGCTGGGCTAGGGCTCAACAAGCTGCTGTGTGAGCTACTGTGGGCGCACGCTCAGTGAGCAAATGACGACCCTCCCCCAGGTTCCATGTGAGAGAGAGTCTGAGCCCAGAACCTCAGACTGTGACTGGGTGACCGCGGTTAAGTGAGGTCAGGGGCCCCTCATCCAGTGTGACTGGGGTTCTCCTGAGAAGAGGGGATCAGGACGCAGACACGCAGGGACCAAGTGGGGACCCGGGGAGGAGATGGCGTCCACACGCCCAGGAGAGGCCTTGGGCTCCAGCCTCTGGGAAGGGCAGTGAGTGGTGAGCCGTCTGCGGTGTCTATGCAGTGGCCTGAGCAAGGACAGTGGTCTCCCAGGCCAACAGCCCTGCAGGCCAGGGATGGCGGGGGGGGGGGGGGGAGCGCCCGGGGGGAGGGGGGGGGGGGGGGGGGAGGGGACCTCCCCAGAAAGGTTCTGACGGGGAACGAGGGTTCTGACCACAGAGCCCCGAGCAAGGAACAGCGGCAGCAGCGCGCCGACCGCGGTCTCTGGACGCCCTCACGGGCAGGACCAGGGCCTGAGAGAGCAGCGCCTCACGTGCTTTCCAGGAACAAACAGGCACCCAGAACCAGGCTTGCACACCTGGCCTAGAGCGCAGGCCCCACGAGGGTGGTGAAGGCCCCAGAGCCAGCCGACGCCTGTGCCGAGTTTACAGGCGACTGGGAAGACGGGAGACGTCGCAGAACCAACTGCTGGGCCATCGGTGACAGGACAAGCCCAGGGGTCAAGAACAGATGAGACAGGCCAGACAGCAGCACGAAATGTGAAGTCGGAAACAAAACCCCAAAGAGCACAGAAGGAAAGACGGGTCCCCAGAGGACTCTGTGTCAGCGGGCCAGGGACAGGCCCAGGACTGGACACACAGGCATTCGAGGCCCAGAGAGAAAGGGAGGGGAAGGCAAATAATTGAAGAAACTGCCAAAATCTCCCTAAATCTGATGAGAACCCACAGACCCAGGAAGCCCAAGGCAAACCACATGCAGGAAGGAAGGGCCATGCAGGCCCCAACCAGTCACCATGGCAGCTGCTGGGCAGCTCCATGCAGGGACGACACATGGAGGGACAGCACCTCCACACGTGGCCCACTGGACACAGAGCAAGAAGGTGACAAAGTGACAGCCCAGGGGAAAAAAAAGCGGATAACCTCGAGTTCTATATCCAGCAAAAATATCTTCCCCAAAAAGGAAGCAAACTAAAGCTAAACAGAGTCCAACACCAGCAGAGCTGCACAGAAGGAAGTCTGGTCCATGTGACAAGGGCCTTTCTCCTCCCCCTCCTCCCCTCCCCTCCTCACCGCAGTAGACGCCACTCACATCATGAAGGCTGTCCACCCACCCGCTGACAGAGGTGTAAACACTAGGGTGCCCAGATTGGGTGTACAAACATGGCCCCCAACTCTGAGGCTCAGAGAGGCTCTGCTTGCAGGCGTCTGGCAAGTGGTCAGACCCTGCCAGGCCTTTCGCCCGCTCCGCCCATCGCCTCTGGCAGACCTGCAGGCCGATGGGGCAAGGGCCTCTGGGAGGGCAGCACAGGCGGCCTGCGTGACGCAGCCCACTCACCTGGCCCCGATGACAGGCTCCCGGGAGTCCCTGGCGGCCGAGTAGTCCATGCCGTAGAAGTTGAGCCCCAGGAGGATCTTGCTCCGCCACTTGGACTTGGGGTCCAGGACCTGGACACAGGCTCGCACCCAGGACAGCGGAGCATTGGGGCCAGGCCTGCAAGGTGAGGGGGGAGTGGGCTTCAGTGTCAGGCAGCGTGGGCCTCCCAAACTG